TTGACCTCCAAGATGTTTTTTTAGGTTTGGAAATAAATGAAATTCTGAAGGTGCTAAATCAGGGGAATACGCGGGATGGGGTAGTAATTCAAAGCCACAATCACGAATTTGAGCCATAGATTCAACAGACGTGTGAACGCGTGCATAATCCTGATGGAACAACACTTTCTTGCTGAGTAATCCTGGCCTTTACTCTTTGATTATTTCGCGCAAGCGACTCTTACGTCGCAGTAATAAGCCGAGTTTATAGTTTCACCTTTTGCAAGGTAGTCCACCATGATGACACCCTAAGCATCCCAAAAAAACTGACGCCAATAGTTTTGGCTTTTTTTGGAGTAGGTTCATCACGTTTTTTCCAGTGCTTGGATTGCAGTTTTGACTCTGGGATGTAGTGGTGTACCCAAGTTTCATCCATTCTTACAAATCTGAATAAAAAATCTTGTGGGTCAGCCTCAAACATTACCAAACAGTCGCGAGAAATCGTGAGGCGTATTCGTTTTTGTTCGACTAAAAGCAATCTGGGTACCCACCGCGCAGTAACCTTAGAAAATCCAAGTTCATTGACTATGATGTTTTGTGTTCGTTCATACGAAATGCCAATAGTGTCTGCAATCTCCCTGATGGTCAATCTCCGATCTGTCAATATCAGATCACAGATTTTCCCGATGTTTTCTTCAGTCGAAGACGTCATAGGCCGGCCAGAGCGAGGGCCACCTTCAATACTCTCTCGTCCGCGTTTAAATTCAGCAACCCACTTTTTCCCAGTCGTATACGACGGAGCAGATTTCCCCAATGTTGTTGACATATCTTCGTGAATCTCTTTTGGAGTTAGTTTTTTTTTTATGACCGCACGTTGCTCTATTATCTACATTCTTTAAAAATGTTGCAACAAACAAACTTCAGTCTAATTTAAATAAAGTTAATGCTATTGCGATAGAATTTTACAATTCGACAAACAGAAAGTAAACTAATCGAATGAGGTCAGTTACATTAAAGTAGTTTAAGTATTTATGTGTTATGCCGCGAACTTTTCAATCCACCCTCGTACCTTTGTATGTTGTATATAAAAAAAAATTTACATAGTAAATGGTTATTCGGCTCTTGAATATTGGGAAACTAACTTTTCTAGAAGCATAGCATTTTACTATCAGGCTCATCGATACAGTTTTTGGCAGAACACTTAGATCATCTGGACAGAAGACTGTTGATCATAATCAATCTTTTGATCGTATTTGAAAGCAACTCTGTTACTATGAGCTAAATATCGCGTTGCGAACTCTAGTCATTGACCTGTGTTGTTTTTCTCAGTAATCACGGAGTCATGATTAGGCTCAGAGCTTAATTCACTAGTGTGGGCTTTTTTATAACCGTCTTCAAAAAGGGAGGAGGTTCTTAATTTGACTGTATTTTATTTTCTGTGTCCAGATTCTGGACCAAATTGAAATTAATGAAGTAGACGTTTTCGTAAAGCATTACTTTTTTTCTACTCATTTTTACTCTTATTATAAATGAGACTGATTCTTGCAAATTTTAAAGTAGTTCTTAGGAACTTTGCATATTTATATATTTAGATATACTTAAATTTTACTTGGTACTAATTAAATATTAAGAATCAACGACTTTCACAAAACCTCCCATGTGGGTATGAAATTTTTTGTAGACCTATAGGAAGGTGTGGGATATCGTTGGATGGGTGTTTCAAAAATATTGGGGTCTGGGAGTTTATTTTCAATTGATTTAATAAACTATTAGTCATTTATTAAAATTTAAAGTGCCAAATTTCGTTAGAGTTGTGTTCTCCTATTTTACTAACTAAACGGTTGTTCTCAGAAAAATGGAGGTTCGCAGTTTAACACGGTTTTGCCGCGGTTTTCAAAAAACTATTTAGTGTTGCCTATTATAAAAAATATCAATATCACTAAAAAGCATGAAATAAAAAAAGAAAAAATATAAAAAATAGAACCGAATAAGTTTGAAACTCAAAAAAAGTGAAAGATAATACTTAGCTCAAAAGCGATTTATTCAAGAAAATGATGCTTATGAATTCTGGCGCCTATAAATTAACAAATAACCTACAGATCATTTTTCACTTTTCTTAAAGTTCGAAATTGGTTCTATTTTTTTTTAAGTTTTTTATATGTGGTTTCCCAAAACTTTGTTAACGCACTCGAACTTCGCGTGCAGGCTTCGGAGGTTCTTATTTTTCGTTCAGCAAGCCGCTGCGAATGCTCGTTACATGACTCTCGTTTCCGTACTTGAGATGTAGTTAAATTTTGTTCAGCAGGCCGTTGCGAATTCCCTAACAAAAACCTCGCTTGCTGACTTGAATTTCTCAAATTTTATTCAGCAAGCTGCTGCGAAAGCTCGATAGCGACACTCGCTCCGCACTTGAGATATTCTGAAATTGTTCAGCAAGCTGCTGCGAATTCTCGATGCACGGCTATCGCTGGCGTACTTGAGATGTTTTTAAATTTTGTTCAACAAAATGCTGCGAACTCCCGATACATGACTCTTGATAACGTACTTCAGATGTTCTTAAATTTTTTTACCAGTCCGCTGCGAATTCCCGATACACGACTCACGCCCGCGTACTTGAGATGTTTTCATTTTTCAGAAAGCCGGTGCAAAATGCTCGACATTCGAAAGAGTCGAATGTTCTTGAAATGTTCTTAAGTTTTAATCGACCAAGTGGGAGTCGGACTCACGCACGAATCATTCTGTACCATAATCAACAAAAAAAAAAGCTTAAAACATCACGTTTGTTGTTATTGAAGATCGCCTCTTTCCGCTTTCTCAATGTCAAAAATGGTAAGAGGAGACGATTGCCCTCTGTCACCTCTCGCATGACAATTGCCTCTAGACGCTCAAAAACCAGTTTCAATATAGTTAGCATTTCATTGGGATCGTCAGAGATTAATAATTATGTGCCTACGTTATATACCGTAAAGCGCGTGACGCAGGCGAATAAATTTTCTAAATCTACCCATGCCTCTGTCCGAGATATTGACTTAATGGATGTTTGGCTGCGCCCGGCTTCTATGCTGGCAAGCTCAGCGACGAGCTTCATCTCTTCGGTACGGCGTTGCTCTTTTTTCAACCAAATCTGAAGCGCTCTATCGGGACACTCAACATCCATGTTATTGAATATCACCTAAAATAAATGGCTAGAAAAATATAACAATTTGCTCTGTGACTTTAGAATGACAATAAAAATCTTTTATGAAAAATACAGAAAAGAAAAAGAAGGTTAATATTATCAAAAGAGTTCGCAACAATACAATTGATCGATTTTACACGTAAATTTGGCACTTTTGACATTTTCAATCTTAATAAGTCACATAGGTTTACTAAAATCAATCGAAAATTAACTCCCAGAGCCCCAATATTTTTGAAACACCTATTCAACGATATCCCACACTTTAGGGAAGTCTACAAAAATTTTCAACCCCACGGGGGAGGAATCCTAAAAAAATGATCTGGTAATGAAGTGGTTTTTGTGAATGTTGTTGATTCTTAATATCTAATTAGTACCAAGTAAAATTTAAATATATTAAGGAACAATTTTTAAATTTGCAAGAATCAATCTCATTTATAATAAAATAATAAAAATGTTCGAAGAAAATGAAGGCTTTACGAAAACGTCTACTTCATCAATGTTTTGAATAACGCTTACTTTCTATATTTTTGCCAGGTAATTTGACCAGGTCACCAGTGTTAAATGTTTTTTACGAGAGTCACTCGGTGGCGTAGTGGATATGCGCCGCGGCTCGCGATCGTTGTCGTTAAGCAACTTTCGCAAGGGTCGGTCACGGGATGGGTGACCAAAAAATTATTATCTCGAGCTACTCCGTGCTTCGGGAGGCACGTTAAGCCGTTGGTCCCGGCTGCATTTGTAGTTGTTAATACCCGCCAATCCGCATTGGGCCAGCGTGGAGGGTCATGTCCCATGCTCCTTAACCATCCATAAGGAAGGCCTGAGCCCCTGCAGTGGGGACCTAAAAAGGCTGATAATGATGATGATGACGAGAGTCAAAACATTTGACACTGCTTCAATATCAGATTCTGAATCATTGAACACATCTTCCACTTATGTTTTTGCTTGTCTTGATTCATTAAATTTTTAATATTAAAATGTGCACAGCAATCTTAGTCACAAAAGCAATTTAGGTGTTTTATCACTATGTCAGTGGGATTTGATTATATTCCCAAAGTATTATAAAATTTTCCAGTTACTTGATGTAGTTATACCCTGTCGTTTTAGGGGTTAGTGCTGAGTCGTGTCGCCCAAATTGCTGACTGAGCAATCTAACCCAGACGCCCGTGCTCAGGTTGGTTGGCCAATCAGTCGCAGCGCAACCACCATCGAAGTCGGTTTTGAGTTTTGTTCTAATAAAACGTGTTATATATTTCAAATCCTTTTTTAAAAAGACAATCTTCAAGTCCCGTATAACACTGGTGGCAGCGTAAAGGGATGAAAAGTTCATCCTCGGTACCGTCTCCTAAACAAAGTTCCATCGTGTAAACCGTGAATATTCATATACTATTCCGTGGTGTGCTCGACTCATCATAAAGGTGGTCAACGTTAATCAGAAGTCCACTGAATCCTGAAAGAAAAAATCACCGTATCCAGTAGCCTGAAAAGAAAATTTGTACCATACTGTGAAGTCCGCCGAATCCTGAAAAGAAAACCGAATCCTGTGAAAAGTGCGAAAATAGTGTTAAAATCTGTGAAAGTGCTTAATTCTATTCTAAAAATAGAATTATATTAGTGAAATACTCCGTGAACTATTCCGTGAAATATTCTTATCATACAAGAATGCAATCAAGGCATCCTATCGTCGCCGTCGCCGCAACATTGTTGCTGTAAGTGAAGCCATTGTTTCAATCGGACTCTATTGTTTTATTCTTATACATTTTGTTTTACATTTTATTAATTTTGTTACTTTGTTACTTATCCAGTGCAATTATTTGATTCTATTTGTGAACGAATAACTTCCTAAATGCCTAAAGACACTAAAGAAGAAACTGGGCAGACAAAGACACTAACACCCATCTCCGCCACAATGTCACAAATAGATTTAAATATTTTAATTAAATTCATTAACAAATACGACGGAAGTAGAGAAAAATTAAATGCATTCCTTAACAATTGCCGGAATGCAATCAACTTAGCTTCTTCATCTCAGGAGGATATACTGCTCAAATATATCCTGAGCCAACTCGAAGGCCGAGCAGAGAGTGCTTGCTCAATTAAAGAATTTGAAAACTGGGAACAACTTGAAAACTTTTTAAAATCCCAATACGGTGAACGCAAGCACTACGCTGCCCTGCTTTCTGAATTGCAAGATTGCAGACAGTTATCCAATGAAACGGCCAACCAGTTTGCATTACGAATTGAGTCATGCCTGTCAAAACTATTGACAGAAATTAATATTTCCATTCCCACTAAGAAAAAAGGTGAACTGGCCGGTCGTGTCGCCGCTATGCAAGACCTCGCTTTACACACGTTCATTATCGGTCTTAATCCTCAACTTTCAACAGTTGTTAGATGCCGCGATCCAGAAACATTGAATGACGCTATTAACTTCGCGGTTTCCGAAGAAAAAATTCTTTTAGCCACGACGCGCCGTAACGCTAATTCATTTCAAAACTATGCGCGTCCTCGTCCACAACAAAATAATAGGCCATTCCCGCGACAGCCTAATCGTCCGTCAGATTATCAACCAAAACCTTCATTCGGGTCGAATCCTATTTCTGTGTGCCGATATTGTAAAATCCCGGGACACAACATTGAAACTTGTCGCAAACGCGAATATAATAATAGGCGGTTTTCTCAATTCAATCAACCTGCTCGCGAAAATCCTAATACGTCTTTCCAGGGACGTCAGCCTATTAATAACATAAATTCTCATGATGATGATGGTGTCGACGAAACTGACAACAATGATTTAAACTAAATGGCTCTCTCGTCTGGTATCGTGCGGGAGTAAAGAAAACTAAACTCGATACCACATCACAATCACTGAATCCTAGTAAATCAAACACGCAGTCTAACAAACAGGGTAACCAGCCCCAAATTCATAGACATGCCTTCTCTGAATCCTTGCAGTCTAACAAACAGGGTAACCAGCCCCAAATTCATAGACATGCCTTCTCTGAATCCTTGCAGTCTAACAAACAGGGTAACCAGCCCCAAATTCATAGACATGCCTTCTCTGAATCCTTGCAGTCTAACGAACAGGGTAACCAGCCCCAAACTCACAGACTTGCCTTCTCTAAATCTTCGCTGTCTAACAAACAGGGTAGCCAGCCCCAAATTCATAGACATGCCGAACCCTCACTGCATCCTAAAAGCAAAGAAAATCAAAAGAGCTTAGAACTTCGACCTACCAATACTATACCTCCATCGAAACTTAAATCTGAAAAGTCTCACTCAGTACTCACCAGTAGTAAAAATGCTAATCCAAACAGCCCCGTCGCAAACGCTGTAACTGCTTCCTCCTCTGCTCCTGAAAAAGAAAAGAAAAATATCAAAATACATAACATTACTACAAATCCCTCAAAAAGACACTTACCTTTTATTAAAGTCCAAACGTCAGTCTCTAAAGAGCCTTTAACATTCCTAGTTGATACAGGTGCCGCTATAAGCATAATAAAAGCATGCTCAATCAATGATATGCCCTCTATTACATGCGATGAACAAGTAACTTTTACCGGACTTGGCAACGACGCCAACCCCATGATATCCATGGGCACCATTCCCATAAAATTCAAAACACTAACTCATAAATTCCATCTCGTAGGCCATCTAAAATTCCCCTATGATGGAATTATCGGCAATGATCTACTATCACAATTTCCAAGCAAAATCGACTTTATTAACGAAAAGTTAACTATCAACGAAGTATCGATTCCAATTAAATTCACAAAACCTATTTACGTTATTTCACCACGATCCGAAGCGATCATCGAATGCTCTGTCAAAAACCCCGATATAAAAGAGGGACTCATAATTAATCAAAACCCCGATGATTCACTACTATTAGCCAATTGCTTAGTTAAAGTTAAGCCTAATCTACGAGTGAATATAACCGTAGTAAATACAGCTGAATCTCCATTAACAATTAACTCTGATTTAAAGTTAAAAATCTCTCCACTGGAACACGAAGATAGCTTCCAAATTCTTCATACCGCGCACTCCGAAAATAGAATCAGCTACCCTAGAGACGTCATTAATCGAACTGAAGAAGTTATTAATCTTTTACGTGTATCACATCTTAATCATGAAGAAACTGACGCTCTTTATGATCTTTGCTCGACTTTTTCAGACATCTTTCATCTACCTAATGACAAACTGACTCACACTAACGCAATAAAACACGAAATACAGACTACTTCTTCGGACCCAATCAGCACTAAGTCATATCGATTCCCCGAGGTCCATAAACAAGAAGTCCAGAAACAAATTGACCAAATGCTTGATGACGGAATAATCAAACCTTCAACGTCCCCATGGTCTTCACCCATATGGGTTGTCCCAAAGAAGTCAGACGCCTCTGGTCAACGTAAATGGAGAGTCGTAATTGACTATCGAAAACTCAACGATGTCACAATAGGCGATTCCTATCCTATCCCAAACATTAGCGAAATCCTAGACCAATTAGGGAAAAGTAAATACTTCAGCACGCTTGACCTTGCTTCCGGGTTTCACCAAATTTTAATGTCTGAGCGTGACGCTCCTAAGACTGCGTTCTCTGTCCCTCAAGGACACTTTGAATTTACCCGTATGCCTTTTGGGTTAAAAAACGCGCCTTCTACATTCCAAAGGTTGATGAATTCCGCTCTCTCAGGCCTACAAGGCTTACAATGCTATGTGTATCTCGATGATGTAGTAATCTACTCATACGATCTCTTATCCCATATTAAATCTCTTTCCGATATATTCGATAGATTCCGACACTTTAATCTCAAACTCCAACCCGACAAGTGCGAATTCCTCCGTAAGGAAGTATCATATCTTGGTCATATCATCACAGACAAAGGCGTTAAGCCCAATCCAGATAAAATCAAAGCCGTCCAACAATTTCCACAACCAAAAAGTCCGAAAGACATCAAGTCTTTCATGGGTCTAGTCTCCTATTACCGACGTTTTATTCCTAACCTGTCTAAAATGGCTAAGCCATTAACGAATCTCCTAAAGAAAGATATTCAGTTCCATTGGCAGAACGAACATCAATTAGCTTTCGAACAATTAAAAAATTGTCTAATCTCAGCTCCTTTACTAAAATATCCCGATTTTACCAAACCGTTTGTCCTGACCTGTGACGCATCTAATTTTGCTATTTCCGCTATATTATCCCAAGGTCCCATAGGAAGTGACCAACCTATAGCATATGCCTCTCGAACCCTAAACAAGGCCGAGTGCAATTATAGCACAACCGAAAAAGAATGCCTTGCAATCCTATTTGGCACTAAAACCTTCCGGCCCTACTTATATGGCCGACGATTTACAATAATCACAGATCATCGTCCACTAAAATGGTTGTTCAATCATAAAGATCCTGGCTCCAAACTCATAAGATGGAGACTCAAATTGGAAGAGTTCGACTACGAGGTCGAATACAAGAAAGGTAAAATCAATAGTAACGCCGACGCTCTTTCTCGATATCCGGTTAATCCTATCTTACCTCAGACCAATGATCCTACAGAGTCCAACGAGAATCCAACTCCGCAACCGGATGTACCTGAAAATGAAAACCCTGCTAATTCCGATGAATCTTCTGCTTTTAGCCCAATCACCTTAGAAGATCTCGACATCCCTTCCAGTCTCCTTGGATCAAACAGTAATTTACCTTCCATCCCACTTTTAGATGATGATGATTTATCCTTGTCCGCGTACAGCCCTGGAAAGATTAATCCTCCAAGCGCGAGTGATCCTCCTATAGAAACCTCTAATCGACAATCTCCTAGGCAAACTGAAACATCAGATAGTACTTCCAACTCTAATGCTGACTACAACACATTCCTTAAATCATTCGCTAATAAAAATGAAACATTCAACACGTATATCCAAGAACACAACGAATCCCTTCTTAAAAGCAACTGTAAAACTATTCTAACCCCTGTATCAATTGACTTAGACGATTCAAATCCTTACCTGGACGATATCCTCTCTGAAGCTGATAACTCGCCTGATATCTTGAACGCTGAAAGAGAACTTCATTCCTTTAAGAAAATAGAAGTAAAAGGCAAAACTTACTATCTTCTATTCACTAAAGTCTACTACTTCGATGCAAGTACTTACCCTGAAATATTCAAAGCTCTTAAAGCCGCCCGAGATGACATTTTACTTGCGGGTGATATTAACAATATCGCTATATCCGACTTTAAGAACCTTTTCGAACAACATTCATTTGTAAAAATCTATGGCATGCTCATGTATTTATTCAACAACACAAATATAACAATAAATATTCATCATAACACTATAGTTTACCCTGTTCCTAGTGAAATTGCGAAAATCTTGAAAGAAAATCACGATATCCCAATAGCCGGTCACCTCGGCTCCCAAAGAATGCTTAATAGAATCAAAGAAAGATATTACTGGAAGAACATGAGAACCGACATAGAAAACTATGTAAAAAACTGCAAATTATGTCAATCCAACAAAGCCCTAAGAAAGATTAATAGATCTCCAATGCAAATCACTACTACATCTACACGTCCTTTTGAGAGAGTTAGCCTCGACATAGTCGGCCCTTTACCCGAAGCGGGTCTTCCCAAATTAAAGTTTATTCTTACTCTCCAAGATGACCTTACAAAGTTCTCAATTGCTTATCCTATATCTAATGCTACGGCAGAAGAAACTTGTGAATGCTTAGTACACTTTATCTCGTTATTCGGTATTCCTAAATCAATTCTAACAGACCAAGGCACGAATTTCACGGCAGACCTTTTCAAACGCACTTGCGAATTCCTAAAAATAAAACAGATTTGGTCATCCCCTTATCACCCACAAACTCAAGGTGCTTTGGAACGCAGTCATTCCACTCTAAAGGAATACCTAAAGTCTTACGTCAATGACAATCAATCCGACTGGCATAAATTCGTGTACACTGCCATGTTAACATACAACAGTAATGTACACACAACTACCAAATTCACACCTTACGAACTTCTTTTCGGTCATAAACCATATATTCCCGATTCCATATTTAATCAAAGTACAGATGTCACGTATCCAGAATATACAAAAATGCTTCAGCATCGTCTCAAAACGTCAAGAGAGAAAGCCTTAGAGAACATCAATGCCTCGAAAGTACGATCAAAGACATATTATGACAGACACTCTCGTTCCACTCAATACAAAGTCGGAGATTATGTATATCTTAAAAACCATGTCCGACTACGAAAAGCTCTTTCTCCGATCTGGAAAGGTCCATACAAAATCGTTAAAGTCCACGGAAATAACTCAGTTTCTCTATTAATAAATAGACGGCATATAAAACACCATTATGACGAAATTAAACCAGCTTCCAATGACGAATAAAACGGTTTTAGATTATTAATTGTACATTCGAAATATATACATAACCTACCTCTTGTAATAATTATATTTTATTTTTACATTTTTTTTTTCTCCTTCTCTATATACCTTATTTTACTCGCTAGATTTAATTTAGATATAAGAAAGCATTTACATATTCTATATACATTACCTTTTATATACAATACGTTTTACATTCTTAAATCTTCTATTTCCAGAATCAGCGTTGCCAATGGTGCGAATCATTATATCAATTACATCACTAACAGCCCTGGTATTCTCTTTGACCCCGTTGGTACCTTAAGAATAATTAATGACGAATTCCATATCGTAATCCCGGTTGATGTATCCCCACTCGAACATCACATAGAAAACATCCATGATGTATTTAACATCATTAGGTCCCAATGT